ATACGATAAATCCGGATTTCACGGATTTCGGCCTTGAATCCCCCATTTACTAATTTAAGGTCTGTTTGCGGTGAAATATGTACGCATGTGGTATTTTGAAAATGATTCCGAGGTGTTTGGAAACTTCATTCGTATCGTGTTGGGTAATCGCTCAAATACGCGCGTGAGGATTGTTAAAGGAGTTTCGACGCGCCCCAGGGGCCACGTCCTGCGTCCGCAAGTAGCGTATTCTTTCTGTGTCATTCAGCTCGCCATCGCTCTCTCTCTCGCCGTCTCCCTCTCCAATCTTCACGATCGACTCGTCTCAGCTCTCCATCGCTGTCGTCTCCCTCCCCCGATCTTATTTCTCACGTAGATCGACCCGTCTAGCTCTTCATCGTTCTCTCTCTCGCCGTCTCCCTCCCCGATCTTCACCCTCGCGTAGATCGACGCGCTTGTAGCTTCGATGAGATCTCCGGTGAGGTCAATTTACTCGGGTTAGAATATGCGCTTTTTTTTTAGTCTTCTGATATGTTTTTTCTATCACAAATTTTGGCATATTTCAAGTGATGATAAAATTAATGTTTTCTTGTTGATGATTTTGTTGGAGTTTCTTGGAATACATTAAGTAGTGTTGCATTTTCTTTCTGATAAAGCCAGCAAACATAGGAATATTAGTGGAGATTTTCATGGATTGAAAAATGTTAGTTATAAATATCGATTTCTTTTCTTTATTTTACACTTGAAAATTGAGTTTCCTCCACCCTTTGGTTGTAACGGATGTTTTCTCCATTAGCTGCAGTTCATGGTTCATGTTTTTGCCGAAGTGGCTTGATCCGTAGCTTCTGATTTTATGTATTTGATGTAGAAGTTTGCATTGGGTTCAAGGCTTTCAAAGCTTCACTTTATTAATAAGGCAGAGATTACAGTGAAAGTTTTTGGTACTTTCTATTGAGGCATACATTTGTTGCTACCTGTTGAATTTTGTTTCCCGTTAAGGCCATCTTTCTTTCCTATAGTAATTGTTAGCTACCAAAAAAACACATGTTAATGGCTTCCACTATAAGTTTGTGTTTTTATCTTGCTTCCTGTGGTGATGGTTTGAGGCATCTTATTTTTGAATGATGCATTTTTGTTAGCCATTATGTTTTACTTGATAGTGAGAGACTGCAAATTGAATTATTTAAGGACAATTACATATAGGCCATTTGAAAGTTGCTTTTTACCACTGTAGCACTCACCTTCATCTATTTTTGAAGGCATTTACATTCATACCACTCAATTTTGAAATATTTACATATGTAAGTCCTAAACTTCATTTTTTTCATATATGCCACCTTACCCTATGCATAAAATGGTGTATTTCATTTTTTGTAAGTTAAAATGATGGTATTTTTTTTGGTGATACAGAAGATCATGTCGATATACATGTTAGATATGTAAATGCCTTATGATCATGTATTTCACTTATTGCATTTAAGCTTGCTGCAAGCTTAATAGATCAAAGCACATGATTATGAGTTGTTTGTTGAGAGTTATTGGCTTTTTTTATATAAAGTTTTAAGTGAGTATATCTTGTCTCAGCAACTGGTGCAGTGATAGTAGCAATAGTTAGTTGTCAAAGAGGCTATTCCGATTTTGATTGCAGTATGGAGCTCCTATATTCTCAGTGTATTGTAATTGTGTTGAATTATAAGTATGAAGCTCTTATATTCTTATTGTACTGAATTTTAGTTATAAGTATGGAGCTTATTTATTTGAGAGCATGTTGTAGTAAGCTTACACATTTGAGAGCTTATTTGTAGCTACGTAATCTTACAGATTTGCTTAATAAAATTTTCGTGGATTGTCTTCTGTGGATGTAGGTCATTGGTCGAACCACATAAATCTCTTGTTTACCATTTTTTTTTTTTTTTTTTATACTGTTGTGGATAACGACCAATTAGCTAATCTGAATAAGCTGCCCCAAACAATTTTATCAGGCAGACACAGAAATGTCATTTAACTACTAATAAGCTAATTTGAATAAGTTGCCTCAAACAGCAAGCCAAATTATTCTGATAATCTGCAGATTATCAAAATAATCTGCAGATTATCAGATTATCAAAATAATCTGCTATCAACAACTGCGCCAAACAGACCCTTAGTGAATCTGGGACGGACGATTCGCTCTAAAATAGAAAAAAAAAAAAAAGTGAAGTTACCTTCCTCATTACCTTCCTCAATGGTTCTGGTAGGAGGGGAGCAGAAGTGGGAAAAAATGGAGAAATTATTTTATACGGATCCGATCTCGGTCGTCAATCATAACTTTTGAGTTTTTTTTTTATATATATAAAAAATATAGGACTCACTAAAATACACTTTTGTTGTGTTTTATATATATATAAAATATAGGACTCACTAAAATACACTTTTGTTGTGATCGAAGGTCTAGATCGGACAGCACATGCATATTTGCATGCGTTGTCCGTATGGAATAATTTTTCGAAAAATTGGGGTATCAAGTCTCTGTAAACCACGGTCCCATCGTTGCGTACTTATATCTGTATGATATCCCGATGTAACCTTCATATAACCTACATTTAACCTATCTGAACTTACAAATAAGTTTTGTGCTTCTGTTTTCACATATATGTAGGTTACATGTAAGTTACATGGAAGTTACATGGATGTTACAAGGGATATAATGCGAATATAATGTTGATATAACATGAATATAACCTCAATTATGTACGCAATGCTACGTACGTCTTACGCACGCAAATTTTTTCCTTGGGTGGGGGGGGGGCACGAGGGGGGCACGAGTATTTTGGGGGGTAAGAGATCAATTATATGTAAATAAATTTACATTTATCATTTATTTAATAATTAATAAAATATATTAATTTTTAATTCATCTAATAAATTTATAAGTAATTAATAATTAATATAATTAATAACTAATTATTTTAAAAATGTTAAATTTGTATTTAATAATTAATTAAATAAAGTTTGTGTTACCAATTAATTAATTTAGTGAATATATAATTATTAATTATCATTATTTAAAATAAAATTTTAATTGAATTTATGAAGCTAGAAGATATTCGCTTATTTTGGAATGTATCGAGAATTCGAATTTATAAAATTTACAAAATATTATTATGATTTATTGTTAAAGTCCCAACAACTATAATAGATTTTAAAATACATGATGAAATTGCTAGACAGTTTCACATGATTTAACAGGATTTAATTTAACCCTTTAGGATTTACTAAATCTTAATTTAATCTTACTAACTTAAATCTCGTATGTTATCATTTAGCTCTTAAGACGAGTCATCGGTCCCGTTTGACGATGAGTTGTGTTCTCTATATAATTGTTACATAAAAAACACTTTGAACAAAATTATTTACATATCTTACACATTTTTTTTTAATGTTTTCACGTACAACACATAAATTTATTTTAATACCCAGAATATAACAACCCAGCTAGGGTTGTAAGTGAGTCAAGCGGACTCGAGCTCTCGATAAGTGGTTTGTCAATTGAGCTTGATGAACTAACAAGCCAAGCTCAGGCTCTACTCGTTAGCTCGTGAGCAGACTCTTTTTCAAAAATATTAATATAAATTATACTTAAAATCTATTAAATTTCAAAAAATTTTATTCAAGGTATTAAAAATATTTACAAAATAATATTTTGTACCATATATTAAGCAATTTCTTATTATGAATTTCATAATTATTCATTATATTTATCCTATTATTATAAAACTAGCTTAGATTAATATAATTTTCTATGTTTTATGATAAATAAGCAGGCTCACGAGCAAATTAGAACTCACAGACTTAAGCTCAAGCTCGAACTCTATAAAATAAACCAAGCTCAAGCTCAAGTCAAGAGTGACTCAAACTCGACTCGTGTATACTCTTTGACCCGTCATATTTTGGGCATTAAGATAAATTTAATTGTTATATGTGTAAATATATAGTTTTAGATGTTATAAACCTAAATATGTTTGTATGCTTTTTGAGTGACATCCCTCTTTTTGTATTTTAAAGCTGGTAAATTTACGGACATATCTAACAAGTTTTATGTATTTACACATCTAATATCTAAATTTTAATATTTTAATATTTATTTATATAACACTTTATTTTTTAATATACATGAGATTGGGCGAGCGAAGAAAGATTGATTGTATTAGCTTCTTACTGTGAATGAACAGCATGACTAATGCAAAATATTCCATATTAAATATCAACTCAATTGAAGCATTCAAATGCATGAAATAAGATATTAGACTTTTAATTCTGATTAATAAGAAGTAAATATCGACTAGGGGTGTAAAACAGACGAGTTAGTTCGAGTTCGGCTCGTTAGTGAGTGCAAGAGCCGAGCTCATCATCTTCTTTAGTGAGCTCCCAAAAAAATTAAATTTTTAGTTCAAGCTCAGGAGCCGGCTGCTTCCACTAAGAACTAAGCTTGAGCTCACAATTTGACAGATGAGCCAGCTCGAGCTTGGCATGGCTCAGGTCGACTCGTTTGCACTCTCAATCCCAACTACAAAGAGTTGATTGGTAAATATTAATTTTTTTAAGGGAAAAAAAATCTCATTAATGCAACAGAAAATCATTCACAACGCACTCTCAATCCCAACTACGAAGAGTTGATTGGTAAATAGAAAGAAAATCTCATTAATGCAACAGAAAATCATTCACAACATAAAGCAGGCACAAAAAAAGGGATAGATGTGCAAATATTTTAATAAAACAAAAATGTAATTGTCTCCATAATTTTCTCATAGGCAAAGCTCCTCATAACCTGCTCAGAACACTCTGTAAGGCTTGCCCATTGTGCTCTTCAGATACAAGCACCTTACCTGCATGATCAAAATGAAGAAGCTTGCAATTACATATCAGAATGCCTGACAGAATAAATTGGCAAATCACAACAAGATTGAAGAAAAGGAGGGTTGAATTTCGAAAATTTATTTTCAATTGGGGCACACCTGCATGATCAAAATGAAGCAGGTTGCAATTACATAAAAGAGCAGGGGGAGAATATTAACATCTACATATCAGAACACCTGACAGATTATAAATTGGCAAATCACTACAAGATTGAAGAAAAGATGGGTTGAATTTCGAAAATTTATTTTCAATTGGGGCATTATGATAAAATCAAATTTTATTATCTTAACGTTATAATCTAAATTGCAACAGTTGGAAATGGATGATGAGTTGGTAATGCCTCCACTGTGTTTGCAATTTCAACACTTGACCTCCCTTCATCGTCATACCATCAATCAATTTCTATGTATTTACATATTCAAAACCTAAAGTTTGCTTCTTACATTTCTACCACCCAAATCTGTCACATCAAATAAAAAATACCAATATTTTATCTTTTAAAAGGTGAAATAAATGTTTTCATGCATAGGCAAGGTAGCGAGTTTGGGTGTTAGATGTGCAAATACACTGGAATTAAGTGGTACGGACATAAATCTATATATATATACATATATAAGTATGTATATGCGCCGCATACTCAGTTCAGTTGAGCATGTGCTTTGTAAGTCCCCTATAGTTTGGGGTTCGATTCCTCCCGAATATAGAGTGTGGTACTCCAATTCTTAGAGGCTAAATACGAATTGTTGCCTGCAGTTGGCACAATGCACAAACAGAGAAAAATGGAGAAGTTCTTACTAATTAGACAGTTAATAGGATGGACCATGGATTCCAAAAACCGACCTATCGTGGTTAAAAAAAAGGGTATTTACATACATGCCACAAATTTTCTATGTATTTACGTATCTAACACCACTGCTTTTTGCATTTATACCACTTAAATCTGTCATGCACATAAAAACAACACTATTTCTAATTTTAAAAAGTGAAATACACCTTCAATGCCTAGTTAAGGCGGTACGGTATGCATGTAAAAAATGGAGGTTTATGTGTGAGATATGTAAAACATCGGAATTGAGTGGTATGCATGTAAATCTTCCCAAAAAACTTATTTATAGGACGAGGACCCATATTTTCAAAATAAACGACCAAACATGCATATTGATGCAAATTATGATAAACCTATTCATAATCTAATGTAAGTGTAACTTAGAGTTTGGGTTTCTAGTGATATTATTACAAAGAGGCGATTGCATACATACCACCCAATTCTTATGTATTTACATATTTAGCATATAAATTTTGATTTTTTACATTTACAACACTAAAAAGTTTCATATCGCATTAAGAACATCACTATTTTAACTTTTAAAAAAAATGGAATATGCATATAAGTAAAAAATTGAAGTTTAGGTGTTAGATATGTAAACGCATAAGAAATGAGTGGTATGCGTGTAAATCTTTTTATTATAAATTGAGGTAGTTGGCTTTTAGTTTTATACTTTTATAAATACCAAAATTTTGAATATCAAGCAAGAATCTGCCACAACCCCCAATAACAATAAGATCCCCTTTTAAGAGTTCGGACATCTAAGGTCCGTTTGGGGCAGCTTATAAGTGCGGGCGGCGTTTTGAAACACCGCCGTACTGTTTGGTTCGCGCGTTTCATCAGTTTATCCAAAACTGCGTTTGTGTTTTTACACTAAACGCAGGTCATGGGTCAACCCCTGCGGCCGGCCCACGGGCCGCGGGCCGCGTTTCAGGATAAGCAGCTTATCCTGAAACGCACAAGTTGCCCCAAACAGACCCTAAATCTCATAAAAAGCCATTGTGTTTTACGACCTATATCTTGTTCATTTTTTAAGGGGCAATTACATAAATACCACCCAAATCCTCTGTATTTACACATCTGATGGTTAATTTTTTCTTTTTACATTTATAGCACCCAAAACTTTCATATCATATGAAAAATACCACCAATTTAAATTTTAAAAAGCCGCATCTTTTCATGCATAGATAAAGGTGGTAATGTTTGTAAAAATTGAAGTTCTAGGTGTTATATGTAAATACATAAGAATTGAGAGGTATGTATGTAAATGTCCCTTTTTTTTAATGAAAGTAATAAAAATAGATAGAATAAAATAACATTGAGAACTTAGTTATAAAACTAGGACTGAGTTTTATAAAATAAACTATCACACATGTATTTGGGCAGACTATGATCAAATGACTGATAATTTAAGGAAAATAAAAATGATTGTTTGGGCCTTGTGCTGTTTTGATATATTTGTGTTATTATTATAAATTAACGAAGTTGAGCGTTAGATAATAGGAAAATTTTGAGGGGGTATTTACATACATGCCATCCAACTCATACGTATTTACATATCTCACACCTAAATTTTGCTTCTTACATGTATACCACCCAATTGTTTCATATCGCTATCTTAACTTTTAAAAGGAAAATACACCTATCATGCATAGGTAATGTGGCATATATATAAAAATTAAAGTCTGATATATGTAAACACATAAGAATTGAGTGGTATGTATGTAAATCTTAGAAATTTTAGATGTTATGCATGCAATTGCACCAATTAAAAAGTGTTATCATCATCTATATAGCTTAATTTTAAAAAGTGTAATCAAAATGTATTTAGCCTGCGTAGATGACATAAAAAATAAAGTGCAATAGAATATTAGAGGTAATGAGCATTTGCATACATAACATTCAATTCTTATTTATTTACATATCTAGCACTTAAAAGTGAAGTAGACCTTTTCATGCATAGGTAAGATGGCATGTATGTAAAAATTGAAGTTTACCGGTTAGATATTTTGAGCATTTGCAAATACATCAAAATTGAGTCGTATATATGTAAATTTTCGTAAAGACAATTGACTCGGATGCCATATAAGTTGGTGAACTTACGTTTTGCCAATTTTTCTTCAGAAGAGAGACCAAGAAATTCACACTGAGCTGAACATTCTGAAAGATCTGCTTCTCTTCCATCGCACAATTTCCAACAGCAACGCCCATACAGAGAACTTTCTTTAGCTGAAACTTAACCATTGCTTTGGTCTCATTGACTTTTGATTCGAGGGTTTCCTGATGTGTCACGAGTGTCGGAAACTTTCCTGTGTCGCAGATGAAAAGTCAACATGTTTAAGAGCTAATAATGTCATGATTTTTCTAAAAAACAATAATTAGGCTAGCTGTCGACTGCCTAACGTAACTCTCCACTTTTCGCATTAGGGACTTGGGACCCAGCAATGGCAAATGCAGAAAAAAAAACATCTTAGAATGGTCCCACTACTACTCAAATATTAGCAATTTTGTCCCAAAATTTTGCAGTGCTCTAATTTAGTTCACTTACTGTTGAAAATTGATCTCAGTGGGTTCCTCGTGTAGGAAAAAATATTATGTCCGGAGTCCGGATGCGAGCTTCGCCCAAACAACAGCTGTGATCCATTGGAAGGAGCGGAGGAGAAAAAAAAGATCTCAGTAAATCGCAGCTTTCGTTCGGACTCCGGACGTAATACTTTTTCCTCATGTAAAAATCATGACACAAAAATGATCCCAATTTACACCCATGATAAATCAGGCAAAATTGATCTCAAGACCAACTGAAATCAATTTTAAATAGTCAGGAAATTAAATCAGAGTACTGTAAAACTCAGAGACTAAATTAGCCTCATCCAAATAGTTGGGCAACCGTGCTTTTTACGATTTAACCCAACCAAAATATTTTCTAAACTGATGTTCAAATTTTCATACTTTTGTCATGAAAGTGATGGAGGATGTGTCTTAATGTTCAATATGGATATATAACTAGATATATAGAATTAGAAGCTTATGAATAGTAAGAAGGAATAAATATGTCAGGTACCATGATAACATGATAGTTTGAGCAATGAAAAACGGTGTATATAGATGACTCTATGAACTGTATGTATCATTAGAGAAGAAATTCACTTTTTTTTTTTGTTTAGCTCCTAGGAATATAATCACCATTGTATTGCAATTCAGATTTCAATATTATCCACCCAAATATTTAAAATTAAAACAAGGGGCATTTACATACATACCCCACCAAATTAATATGCATTTACATATCTAACACCTCAACATTGTTTTCTGCATTTATATCACCTAAATCTTTAATATCACATCAAAAATACCACTATTTTAACTTATAAAAAAGTGGAATATTCCTTCTCATGCATAGGTAATGTGGGCATCTATGTAAAAATTGAAGTTTGGGTAAATACATAAGACTTGAGTGCTATTTATTAGGTATTCCTTGAGAAAATCTATCCAAATTAACCAGATAAAACTTAGGACTTCATGCACCAAATTTATCAAAATTCATGCACCAAACATACTGTTTATCCTTAATTTTCAAGGCAATCGAACATAAAGTATTTAAACTTGGGAAGACTTACATACATACCACTCATGTATTCACATATTTAACACCAATACTTCAATTTTTATATGCATGCCATCAAATTTATGCTTGAAAAGATGTATTTCACTTTTGAAAGTTAAAATAGTGATATTTTCTTATGTGATATGATATATTTGGATGGTAAAAATAGAAAAAATTAAAAGTAGGTGTTAGATATGTAGATAAATTAAAATTGGGAGGTATGCATGTAAATTTCCCTTAAACTTGAAACGAATATATTCTTGCCTGCTTTGTTGAGGCCGGGGCCAAGAAGGCGGGGTATCTGTTTGATGATGGCTTCCGACGCTAGGAAAGCATGATATTTTTTAGCAAGCTTTTTGACAAGCTTTTTGTTCTTATTCATTTTCTTCAGCCCTTCAACATCCATCCACTCCAAACCTATCTTCTCAGCCTGTATATAAAGGAATTAGCTAATGAGATCACACGACATTTCAATGTAAATTTTTGAACAGCAAGAATAATGGAGAAGAGAGGCATTTACATACACAACGCCCAATTCTTATGTATTTACATATCTAGCACCTAAACTTTCATTTCTTGCATTTATAACACCCAGATCATTCAAATCCCATAAAAAATAACATTATTTTAACTTTGAAAATGAAATACACCTTTACATGAAGGTGGAATATATGTAAAGATTAAAGTTTAGGTGTAAGATATGTAGAAAGATAAGAATTGAATGGTATGCATGTCAATCTTCTCACCCAATAAAGAAAAAGGACATTTACATACATACCAACTAATTCTTATGTATTTATATATTTAAAACCTAAATTTTGATTTTTTTTTTACTTTTGTACCACCCAAATCTTTCATATCCCATAAAAAAATTAAAAAATAAAAAACTCCCGCTATGTTAACTTCTAAAATTTGAAATATACCCTAAATGCATAGGTAAGGTAGCATATATGTAAAAACTAAAGTTTAGATGTTAGATATGTAAATAATAAAGAATTGAGTGGTATGCATGTAAATCCTCTCACCCAATAAAGAAAAGGGAAATTTACATACATACCACCCAATTCTTATGTGTTTATATATCTAATGCCTCAACTTAGATTTTCACATTTATACCACCCAAAACTTCAGCATTATTTTAACTTCTAAAAAGTGAAATACCCCTTTACATGCATAGGTATGGTGGCATAAAAATAAGTTCAGGTGTTAGATAGGCAAATAGATAAGAATTGAGTGGCATCAATGTAAATGTTCCTAAAGAAAAATTTATGCTTACCATATTAACCACTAAAGCCACATTTTTTATCAAATAACATATAAAAGGCTTGAGAATTGAGTGGTATCAATGTAAATGTTCCTAAAGAAAAATTTATGCTTACCATATTAAAGCCACAACTTTTATGCAAAAAACATATAAAAGGCATGCAATAGAAATGGGAGTGATTATTTACCTCTTCAACATGTTGGGCATCCCCAAGCATGCAGACCTTCATCTTGGGACGAGGAATATGGGGCAGCTTAACGGAGCCACTGAAGCGCTTATCCTTTTGAGGATCGTAATTTTTCAGTCCAATTTGCAGTTCAATAGTTTCCGTAAAGTTGCGCTTTTTTTCACGAGAGTCGCTGACAAGTTGGGATATTGCTTCCCTCAAAACATCACTCTGTAACTTACTGCAGACATTAAGCATGCAAGTTAAATGCAGCTCCTTGGATGATTCACATCAGCTAAAAATTATGATAAATCGTCTTCTTCATTATTAAAATAAGGATCTTTTATAAGCCATTTGGCCACAAGCCTAAAGATTTACAAGTAGGCTTTAATAAATCCTGTAATTTTGTTTTTACTAAATTCGTAATTTTAGCTCAAATAAAATTTACTAAATCCTGAGGATTTTAATTATGAAAATTGCTTTGTATGGTAGCTAGTAGATCGAGTTAAATTCAAGTAAACTAAGTGGCTGTTATTTTCATGATTTATATTTAAAATTATTTAAGTTAATATAAGATTAGAATATAATTAAATCTAAAATCGGCCATCCTATTATGACAGTGAGATGTTAATTGTTTCTTAGTCGAAGTAATTAGATGACATTTTCTATATTGAATCAACTTAAAAGAAGCGGGACAAATACGAGTATAAAATTAGCAATTTTCATGAACAACCTCCACGAATTAGAGAAAATATTTTGCCCGAACACTACACATCTGGACGGCCAACCACCGAACGCCGCGTCGCCATACACCTCATCGACGGGCGACATGACAGCCGGTGGTTGGCCTTCCAGACGTGTGGACATCTGGATAAAATATTTTTTTCCACAAATTGAGTGCAAAACAATAACTCATATGCAATGCATGTTGACAAACATTAGCTTCTCAAAATCACTCCTTTTAAATATCCAATGAAACAATCGCGAATGAAGTCAATGATTGGGTGGGTGATTGAGTGAGTAAATTGGCAAACAATCTTTGCAAATTTAACACAAAAAATATGACAGCTTAAGGAGGCAGTTAAGGATGAAGTCAACAAATGGGAAGCGGATGATGAGTTCTAAGATCCTTAAACTTGATGGTTTTCCAATGCTTACTCTCTCTAACTCATTTAAATTTTGAGAAATGTGCATGTTTTAATACTAAATTCACAGTTTATCTTAAAAAAATAGACGAAATGAAATCATCGGTGGGGTTCCCTGAACACAAAAAAACTATTTGCCAAATCTCATTTAATCCAAACTTAAATCCTAAAACCAATAAGTTGTTTAGTAGCAAAATACTAACAGATTTGAGGTCATTAAATCTTAGGGGTGTTTAGATACATAGCACAATTTCTTATGTATTTGCATATTTCATAACTAAATATTTATTTTACACACACAGCATTATAACAACTTTTTAAAAGTCAAAAACACATTTTCCTGTATAGTTTTAAAGCACCAATGTGCTGTGTGTGCATAAATGAAAGTTTAGGAGTGAAATATGTAAATACGCATGAATTGTATGCTAGGCATGTAAATTTCCCTAAGTCATATTGTTAGGTGAAATCACAGGTATCAAATGGGAGAATAAATGTTTCTTCACTGAAGAGCAGCAAAATGGGAAGGGGATCTGAGCTCCCAACCGGATTATTCCAATAATTTAGATAGGGGGAATGCTTCTAACTTCTATCTAAATCATAAATCCTGTAGAAAAAAAATTTGCCGGTATTTGATCTGATCTAACAATCTTCACACCAAATAGATTTAGCCCATCCAGGATTTACTAAATCCAGATTTAATGAATTTACCAAAATCTGCTTTTAGCCCAAACAGTCCCTTGAGCGGAATGCAGTGAGGACACAGATTTAAGAAAAAATCTATGCATTCCGCCAGAAAACTAAGACATCTCACATAAACGATTAACCAAAATAATTAAATCTCAGTCTCAGACTGTTACTGCATATACGGCGGCGAAAATAAAATAAAATTAGAAGAAATAACAAGAAAAAAACAAAACCTCATAGTTCCAAGCCTGACTTAGCTGCTAAACTTTCTGCAATTGAAACAAAACGAATCAAGCGTTAGCATAGCAGAAACAGAAATCGAAACTTAATAATTTCAAAGCAATGGCGTATACAAGCACGGTAATCCGTGCAGAAGAAAATTAGGCAAAATAGCTGCAAACAAAATATGTAAGGTGAACGGAGATTACTCGTCGGAGAGAATGGTAAGTGGCGGCGGGGCTAAGGGCGAGAAGGACAGGAAACCCTAAATCGTAAGCCGGCCACCTTTTATAGTTGGTGCGCCGGGGTTCCGGTAGCACAAGTTAAGAGGATTCAGAGTTTGTTTATAAGTTTATTAGGAGATACTAAATTTTGTAAATACACATTTTATGATAATTGAAAATGATAAATCATATAAATTGTTTGGCAATAAATGTAACAAATTTAGTTAAATTATGTAAAATTATTTCATAATTTTTGCCGAGTTTAGAAATCTATTAAAAATTTACGATTCATAGAATACAAAAGTATAATAAAATTTCAGTTATTTGATTATTATGATACAAATTAATTATTAAATTTAATTAAATTGGATTGACATTTTTATTTCTAAGTATCTAAATAATAAATTAGTATTTATTAAGCTAACTAATTATTAAGTAGTTTAATATTTATCAATTAATATTTTAATTACTTATTAATTACATTAATTAACAATTTTTTACATATGGTGGAATTCATCCGAACGTTAAATCATGACCATTGATATGCTCTCGATGGAAGTTGGTGTAAAAGTAACAGTCAATCCGTCAGGTGCAGATCAAGGGCTGATTGATAATATTCGGCTTTCATGGTAGCCCGGACTGCTGGAGGTACTAAACATCCATCCGACCCAAGCAAACTCTCAGGGGAGGTGATTGACGGGCGTCAGATATCCATTGGATCACTAGGGAATTGGTCACACGAGTTGGAAGACTCCTTTGCGGGGCGACTGGATTCATGCACAATGAAGATGAGCGAGGTACGCTCGCTTGAGTTAAGAAGATGGATAGGTTTGAGGGAGAGGTAGCCACCCTTCATGCCCGACAATTGTTCTCCACGCTAAGATGGCTGCTCTCCACGAGAAAATGGTTACTTATTGTGTTGAGCACTCAATCGTTCGGGAGGCGTCCTCCGCCTCCTCCGCCTCTCGTATTCAACTAGCATAAGAAGAGTCGGGAGGCGTCCTCCGCCTCTCGTATTCAACTAGCATAAGAAGAGCATATATGTTTGGGTTAAGAAGAGAAGTGTTGTATAAAATGATGATTCAATGAGGGTATAACAACTAAAGCTTAGGGTGATAACACTATTAAGCTTTTTTTTCTCTCAAAATATACGTTGAGATGTAATTGTAATTATTTTCATGAATAAATAAAATTTATATTTAATCTCAATTATGTGTCCAATGTGATTCTGTGGTTTCAAAAGTGTTAAATGACATCTGAGCCTCCATGACAGTTCATATCCTTATAAATAGGGATCGGGGTTTTTGAGATCTCACGCTCAACATTTCGGCTCTATTCACACCACTAAGGCGCCCACAATATCGGCAAGTTATGTGGTGCATATTGATGGCTCTTGCGTCTTTAATTCGTCGGCAAAACTACCAATGGTGACAAGTGATGACCGAGTGAACATATTACTATGATAACAATCTCATATTTTGTGGAGATCATTCGAATGTGACCTTTGACTGTTGTTTTGTTAAGAACTTCAGGTGACCCACATCCATTATGGAGTGATCATTGCTTAAATGATGCCCAATTATATCATTGTCATGATGAATTTTGTGGACTCCTGTCGTCAGCTGGCAATCCCCGGATCAATTGATCTCTTTATCTATTTCTTCTCATACAAAATCTTTTTAGATGGGAATTGTTTTTTTGGATGGTTCTCAACTTTGTTTTTTTGGGATTGGAGAATATTTTAAGGATTAGAAATCACATTTTTTTGTCGACTCACGCTGCGGTGGTTGAAGAACTTACATTCTCGCCATAAATGAGTGAGGGGCGACAATTGTCAGCTCATTAATATCTTGATTATGAGGTGCTCAGTTTGATACTACGGTTATAGAAGTTAATTGTCAGCTCATTAATATCTTGATTATGAGTGTTGACCTCACTTTTGGTTGAGGTCTAGATTTAAGAGTTGACGATGAGCTTTAGGAATCCTTTGTTCCCGAGAGATTGAACAGGAATGACAACTACTGTCAGGGCCGCCGAGAAGCAACCACGGGTGAAAGCATCACATCCCAAAGTTATTGTTGTTGTTGCCCGTCGAACAAAATCCAGATTGTTCCTGAGTGTGAAATTGCTTGTATTGGGAATACACTGAAGGTGCGAAAACAAAATTTCAAGATACGGCATCGTCTATGTGGTTCAAGACGTTTCTACTGACGAATTAACTCTTGTTGCATATAAATTAAACCTTTCTTCTCAGGTTTCAGGACTTATAGCACTTAGTGCTATAATTTTGCGAATAAGCTTAGCATGTTGGCGTTGAGCAATGCGGTCGAAGAGGCCTTGGTTGAGTGAACGAAGGGGCAAGTGACTCCCGACGTGACTAACACCTCCTTCGTATACTTGACGGTGAGGGGTGAGTCGGTTCTTAGGCCTGTTAGGAGTCCGAGCACCAGGAAAAAATAATCCCTCGTAGAGTTGGGGATGCTCCAGCTGCCGACAATGAGATCATGCTTCATTGACCTCCTCAGACAAAGCGGAAGGGTTTTCTACTTTAACGGATCCCTTCCTCGAAGGAGGAGCTCAATGCGTGGTATGGTTTTGTCTCCTGGTTTGCTGTGGTGAATACAAAAAAGGATATGTATTTTGAGTCTTTGATGTTTGTGGAATGTCCTTAAATCTTGTGGAGGTTGTATGGTCCCGAGCCTTTGAAACTGTATTGAAGGGTCTTGACCTCTTTGAACTCTCTCAATTATTCGATTGCCACCACATCATGCCGTGGGAGGTGACTCGACCCGCAGTTACACAAATATTTATGTTTTTTTTAATGTGCCAAAAACTTGAACCAAATTATATTTAGCGGTTAGTGAGAACAAATGCAATACAATAAAAATTAAATAAATAGTTTTCTCACGATGGGCACTATGCAAGTTTGTGTATCATTTCAAGTAATATAGAGTTTTTTTTTAAAACCTCAGTATCAATTTAACGAGGAAAATGTAAACAAAAAACAATGAAATGAAATACAATAATTTTAACTTTAAGAGAACCTTACTTGAGGCTGCAGTAAATATCTAATGATGAAAATTAAGTTTACTAAATTCTACAAAATGCAGGTAAAAACAAATGAAATGATTAAGACAATATATAAAAAAAAAAAATTTTCTTGTTAATAATTCATAATTAGTGTAGGATTTCAAAATTGAATTTTTTTTCTTGTTAATAATTCATAATTAGTGTAGGATTTCAAAATTATTTAGAAACTTAAATGTGGTATTGTGACAAATATGTGCATATCTATTCTTTACTTCATATGAATTTTGTAAAGAACATTGACTAATCTAAAGTTGGTGTCAACATGTATAGTAGTGTCGGGTATGTTATAGTCTCTCACTCCTAGATTACCACTACGCCATCTCTATAGGACCAACCAGCAACCCTTGGTTCTAATCTCTAGACCAAATTGATAAAAGAATCTAAACCAGCAACCCTTGGTTCTAATCTCTGGACCAAATTGATAAAAGAATCTAGCATTTTACTTTAAAAATAATAAATTTGCGCACATTAAATCTTCTCTCCATATATATTTGCACTCCCCTTCGGACGATCGTCACTGCTCTTTCTAAGGTATAATGTGATACTTACAAGTTAAAAAATTTTAGCCCTCTAGGGTCTATAAGTTTCCTCGACAAATTTTAACAATACAAGTGACAAATTTGTTAAGTAAATTAAAATCCGGTAAAAATATCATTATAATTTTTAGAAATAAAAGAAGTCATGAACAAAATCAAAATCACTTACTTAATTACTTCATAGCGTAAGAAAAAAGAGAAAAAAAAAACTCAAAACGCATGAGGATAACAAAACAAAACAAATTTATAAAACTTAAATCAAAAGTACAAAACTTAAAAAAATATATATGAATGCTTATATTGAGTGTTCCCCCGAGCACTTCTTTGAAGTTCTATGACTCCAACAACACTTGCAAGACTCACAAACTACATAAATAACAAAGACTCGCGAATAAAACTTCTCACACACTTAACACGCTCACACACTATGAGACTCTATAGACTCGACTCCACTAGCTTTTTAGAATTAATCCATATTTATAGAGCTTTGAAAATGATAAAGGGTTGCTTCAGACATCTCTTCAAATTTTAGTCTTATTCAATGAATATTTTAGAAAATAACTGTGGTGCCTAGGGGGCCAATCATCGCGCCCAATGACCGATGACTTTTTATATGCTTAAAATATAAGAAAATATGGACATAATAAATATTCAATAATCGTAAAGTCACACTTATCAACGCAAAGATACGTATCGCTCAAGTAAAATAGGACTCTAATGGAGTCCTAGATATCGATCCCTCAGGGAGTGGTTTAGAACTGCGAACTAACATTTTAGAAAAATAATACTTTAATCACAACAACTTAGTTCAATTTGTTTATCTGTCACTAATAGACAATTGAAATAAATATGTAATTTTAATAACTATTAAATAACTAATGATACTAATGAGGGTTTAAATGTGATATTCAATATATAAGAAAACATCATTCTACTTGTCAAGAAAGTATAGTGAATGGATAAAGTGAATTAATTCAATTTATACTGTGTCAAATATGAGCATACTTATTCTTTACCCTTTGGTCCAGGCATAAAGAACATTGATTAATCATACGCTTGTTTACTGAATCTGCGGCTGGATTGGGAGGATACCGGCGCTCACTTCGGAGCTCCCACGTTCCCTTCACATGAGGGCTAACATCTACACTTCAGCACCCAAACGATAAGACCGAATTGGGGATTTTAGTCTGTCACTCTAAAATCTCCAATTATACGCCCGATAATATTATTTCTCTATTTAATTGCACTCAACTTCTAAGGGCTTTGACCTCCCTGAATCTTGGATGTAATCTTCACTTTAGTTGTAAAACTTAACATATTTTAACAAATCAATTGGTCATATTGAAAGTAAATTAAGATCGAAGTGAAAGGATCATCACTTACAGCACACAGAATTCCTTTTCGAAGCAACAAGGAGGAAGAAATCTCTCACTTTTTTCCACTCTTACAATCTCTCGAAAAATTCCTCACAATATTGGAACCTTTTTAACCTCTCGAAACTCTCTCTAACACTTCATTTTCTCTCTAGATTCCTTTCCCCCTCATAATTTTTGGCCAAAATAGTCTATTAAAGTTGTGGACGAGCTTTCCCAAAAATTGTCTAAACATCCCTTCAAAATTTGGCCTTATCCAAAGCTTGAATAGGCATAACCTCCAAGCTCGCCATCGACGTCCTCAAGGGCGCCGTCGGCGGACTTCTGAATAATTTTGTCCTATAGCCTCGAGAAAAACTTGTCATCGGCGGACTAGTTCAAATCTCCACATTTTGATCATTTTCGTTCCAAATTCACTCATTTTTGCCTCTTTTTGCTTCAATGACCCTAATTCATTATTCTTGTAACAAAACATCAAAAATACCTTTCTTTAAAGTGAAATATCATTAAAAACAGTATAAAATATGTATGAAAATCTCAACATATTTTCCTTTGGTCACCTAAGCCCCAACCAAGTTCTGCACTTGCCCCAGCCAAGTTCTGCACCTGGGGCATAGGCGTCGGTTCAGCTCATCTGATATTTTTATTTAGTTTAGCCCATTTTGTTCTTTTTTTGTGTATTTTTGCTTCTTGTACTCTTAAACTCTTATTCTTGCACTTGAAAAAAAAAACATAAAAATATATTTCATTAAAGCATAATATCTTAAAAATTGAGCATGAAATATGCACAAAAAATATGTAATTTTAAGGTAGATCAGGAGTCTGCCTGCTTTCAATCCAAGGTCCTCGAGTGGGTCGAGTGAAAGTAGGCGGCACCAAAGAGTGGACAATGGAAGTTATGAGACTTGCCATGAGGACCAAGAAGCATCTAAGGCTCTTCACAGCCAACAAGGAGTTTGAGACAATCAAATATGAAGAAATTGCCTCAACTATTAAGAAAGAGAATCAATAGCTAAAAGCATCCATGACCAATGTGAAGACCTCAGAGGAGTCTATTATTAGGATGAACACTCAATTTTAGGTTGACTTCTCTTTGGCGATCAAATGCTTTGTGAAACAATGGTCGGTCGACCCAAAATGGGTTTATTTGAAAGAGTTCTCCACACTTCTCTTTGATCCTAAGGAAAGTGCAGGGGAAAGCACTTATGCGTCGACTGAGGAGGAATGCGAGAATGAAAGCAATGGAGGACATAAAACCGCATGACTCCATATCCCTTGTACTTTGAGAAAGAGTTTTTTTTTCTTGACAACAAATTGTGAATTTTTAAATTGTTTATGAAATGGAATGGGTTTTTTGGCCGATTTTTGCCTTCAATTTTTGTCTTATATTTGATGTATTTTGTTTACTTGATTTATTATTTGTGACGTCTATGACAGTTGGTTTTGATATGTTAGCCAATGGATTCGAGTCTTATGCTACCCCTATCTTGTTTGCTCAGTCGGATCTTCGCCTAAAATGGTATAAAAGCCGAGACTTGTGGGGTGGTTCACTGGGTACCCTTTATGGAGCTTATCGCTATTGGGTAGAGAGCAATCTTCAGAGGTTCACCTTGTTTGAATTTAGAGACGTATGTTTATTTTTTATTCTTGGGCATTAAGAGTCGGTCTTTAAGTGTTGAATGCCAATCAAATATCTTACGTCATTGTCAATCACTTTAAGTATTTACTACCGACCAGACAACTTGCACGGTTGTCGGTTTTTTTTTATTGCGACCAACTCCCGTATTATACCTCTTGAGTCTCGATCACTTAATCAGATCTCCACATCATATGAGAGCAATGCCCGTGCTAAACTTATTATGTGGATCTTGTTGTTGCTTTCGTGGTGGTAAAGATCGATGCACAATTCAGGGGTAATTTAGTCGGTACCATTCACGGAGCTTGTCATTACGGGGTAGTGAACCACCTCCAGAGCTATATCAAGCTTGAGTTTGGATATAAGTTATTGATGCAACAACATTATAAACAATTCCTTTTGATCATTTTGTTGATTGAATGTCTTGACGACACTGCCGACTTTACTGCTCGGGTTCTGGTTCCCTAAGTTATGATGAGTCGTTGAAGTGCATGAACTCCTCCAGTTCCTTAAGCTTTGTTTAAATATAGGGTTGTGCACATAGTTAGTCAAATTGTCATTAATATTTCTTATGTGTAAAATTTTTCAAACTATAAACAAAATTCCTTTATCTTCTATTAAATATTGGTATAAGAAATATTTTTTAACAAAAAATCCTTTTCAAATATTCTTCACACCGAGTATGGGGATTCATTTCCTTGATTTGCGAACAATGTCTCATTGTCGTTGTTGATAAGTAGTGAAAAATCATATTAACAGATGAGGTCCGTCCAGATGAAGTTTGGAATGACTTTCGTACTTATTCGGGCAAGCACATTTGCTTCGATCCATTTCAAAAAGTAGTCCACGATGACTGGAAGAAATTTGTGATGGCCCTTTGATATTGCGAACAACTTATGAATGTTTAGCCCCCAAACGATGATAGAACAATGGCCGACAATCGACTACATTCTGTGGGCCAGTTGGTGCTGCAATGATGCCTACTACTGGCATTGCTCACATCTCTTTGAGAATTCATTTGCATTTTTCAGGAGTGTTGGTCAGAAGCAACCTCATCGTTGAATTATGTGCCTCAAGCTCTTTCATCTAGGCTGACTCTTGCACTCTCCATAGTGTAACTCCCGTAGGAGGTCTTCCGTTTCATTTACTCCAACGCACCTCAAGCAAAGCAAAATCACCGACTTTCGGAAAAGCTTCGCTCGATAAAAAAACTATTGAGCTGCTTTGCATTTGAACCATGTAGGGTTGGTAGTTTCTTTAACATCATTTATATTCTCCAGGAAGTGCATGTAGGAAAACATCAAACTTTTTGCTCATTCAGTCTCCACTTCTGTTGCTTCAGATTCTTCAATCGTCGACTGAAATAGTCTTTGAGATGTTCCCTGTCATAAGGAAATGCATTTGAATAGAAGACTGGCCACACGACTGTCTTACATGGCGATGTGCTTCATTATAAAGTTGGCGAACTTCCAGGCCCCCATTTTAGCTTTGTAGTGATACTTGATCATCATCTCATTAAAAACTTCAAATTCCCCTCACTTGATTTATCACTAGATGAGAGTCTGATTGCACCAGAAGATATTGGGTGTCCATTTTATATCCTTGATGCACCCCAAAACACTTATGTTAAAGGATTATTTACATGCATACTACTCAATTCTTATGTATTTACATATATAATATCTATACTTCAATTTTTACCTACATGCCACCTAATTATGCATGAAAACGTGTATTTCATTTCGTTAAAGTAAACTAGGGACATTTTTAGATGCCATATGAAAGATTTGGATGTAGAAATCAAATATAAGTATTAAATGTGTAAATACATCAGAATTGGTTGGTATATATGTAAATGCCCCTCATGTTAAAGCCCCAAAAAGTCCCGCTACCTCAACTCTCATTTCCGCCAAAACCTTCGACGGAGCAAACGCTCTCAGCCGACCCGAGTCACCCAAACCCCTTCGATCTTCGCTTTGGTTATCCATGTCGGATATCGATATGGTGGATGGGAATCTGGCTCTGAAAGAGATCCAGAAGCTGGAGGGCCACACCGATAGAGTATGGAGCCTCGCCTGGAATCCGACCGCTGGAGCCGGGGGCCTTCCACCGATGCTCGCCTCTTGCAGCGGTGACAAGACTGCCAGCAA